TTTTTTTTTTTGTGTCTGTTACCACTTTTTCTCAGCTCTCACCGAACGGATTTCTTTCAACGATACGTCAAAAGATCACAAATCGTATCTAGTCGAAGACATTACCCTTCAAAATTGAAAAATTTTCCATCGTTCCCCGCAAATGGGTAAAACCCCCCCAAAAAATATAAATTTAAAAATCGCTAATTTTTGACATTTTTTAAATTTTTTTAAATTAAAACTGCCATAGCTTTTTTAAAAATGGCCAATACAATATAATTTTATTTTTATAGATACTTTAGGTATTTCACTATCATTTGATATATTCTTATGAATATTTGACCATTAACCTGACCGATTTCTTTTAACCATACGTCAAAAGATCACAAATCGTATCTAATTGGAGACAGTACCCATACAAATTGAAAAAAATTCCCTCGTTCCCCGAAAATGGGGAAAATATACAAAAAAATTACAAATTTAAAAATCGGTAAATTTTGTCATTCTTTTCACTTTTTTTTCTTAAGACTTCCATAACTTTTTGAAAAATAAACAAATCAACATAATTTTTTTTTCTATTAAAACCTTAGACATTTACCTTTCATTTGATATAATTTTTTTTTAAATCTATCACTTAACCTGCTCATTGGTGGGTATTTAAAATTGCAACTTTTTTACAAAAATTAAATGTTCCGGAAATACTGCGTCCTTTAAACATATATCAAATTAAAGCTTATTTTATGTACTATAAAATGAAAAAAAAAATTTGTCCCGACGACCTATCTTCTATGCGCAAATGGCTACCATATTAAAAAATATGCTATTTTAACAAATTTTTTTTTTTTAATTAAACACTATCTACAAATTTGCATCGAAGCGTTTTTTATGATAGTGATTTTTATCACTGTCAGATATCATCTATACTGGACCCAACTATGCCACGACCCCACTGTGCCGCCACCCCACTGTTTAAGTTAATTATTTTACTTTTTAATTCTTACATATACTATATTGTCGACAAAAAAATATAAATTCAATTTAAATGACGGGAGTAAGTTATAAGAAAGTAATTATTAAATGTAAAACATGGGAGATAATCATATTTTTGTTTTATAAGAAAAAATGTAAATTACACTATTTTAAAATATATATTAGGGTGTTTCTTATTTTGTAAGTTAATAAATTTGACGCCAAGTTAACGAAATTTTGTTCTATATAACATACAGAAAATATTGGTGAAGTTTGATCGTACCCCTTCACGTGCTTCAAAGGGGTAGTAAATTGATAAATAGGGGTTGT